TCGTAATCAAAAACGACAACAGAGGATGGGTTTGCTTCTACGCCCCCTACCCTAACAAGAATAGGGACACTCGGACCGGCTAACAGACGCGGCTTTGCGCTGAACCACAGGAAGAGTAGATATCCCCGTTCCTTAACCCTGACCACAACTGACTAGGGATTTAACGCAAATCCACCTCTGTTACAAGCTTTCCTGTTCCTGGGGGCACATAAGCAAGCCCTACCAAATAAAGGTGTAATAGACGTAGCACCCATTAGCAACCGTCATTGCGTGGACTCTAAATTGCTTTGGTGGAGGCTCTGGGAGAATCGTGAACGACATTGGAGCACTGGTGTGAATAAAAATACAATCAACTGCTGAAGAAGAAGACATGTAATGGGTTCTGAAAAAGTCAATTGGCAAGCATGAAGCTGTCACCTTGATGAATGACGTCAAACTTCCGGAGCGAACAATCATCCTAATGACACTCTTCGACGAACGTTCACCGACCGCCAACGGAACTCACTTGTCTCGCTCTGCCTTTACCTTGGGCCTCGTTTCCATGGCCCTGGCAAAAGCGGGTAGTATAGGCAGATCGTATTGCCGGCAAAGACAAGAGAGAGTGGAATTGAGAAGTTGAAGACGACTGGATCGCTGGAAAAATATGTTTTTTCGCCTGACGTTTCGAAATCCGTCGCGGACTCATCATCAGAGACATACTCACAGAACAGTAGCAGAAACAGTTTGTGTGTGCACAGGGTTCCGCCTTGACGAACGTTCACGGAGCGCTAATGGAACACCAACTTAAACTGGCAAGGCAACGAGCTCGTGGCTCGATGGTTAGGGTGTTTGACTCTGATCAAAATGTCATAAATTCGAGTCTCGGGTGGTGCACCACTTGGGTCTGGGTATGACTGGCTGACGACGGCTAATAAGCCAGAAATGGCAATTCCAGTCTCCCTTGTCTTTGCCGGCAATGCTATCGGCATATAGCCCTCCTAATATAGCACACTAAGGATGCAAGAGGCCAAACACAGACCACTGTCTTACTATCTTACCATTGTCAAGTCTTCCGGTTATGCTCAACACCACTGAATGCGGTAGTAAACACACCAACTGATGGTTAACGCCTACGGGCGGTGTGTAAGTCAGGAAAACTGACAACACCACCACAGTAAGCCTGCCTGTACGCAGTGATCACCAAAACCTGCCCAAGCCTAGGACCCAGTCCTCACCTGTGGTTCCATGCAACTGAGCTACCTAAATACATGGAAAAAGTATCTCATGAGAGTCACAGCAGGATGCCGGTCGTCGACTGTCTTTCCAACCGCCTGAAGAAAATAAGGCTCTTGACGATTGGCCACTTAAGTAGCATGTATTTTTTTACATTGACTTTCGACACCTTCATAATTTTAAACCTGTTTTACACAAAATATGTATAAGGTATCCTCTCTTCCCCCACAATTTTGTGGTAGATGATACGTCGTCATTTTCTGCTAGAAAAAAACCGACTCCTTCAGCTTAGGAAAGTTTTTTATGATGGGACCGTGAAATGTCCATTCGGACACGGCCATACCTGTCAGTCGGTGGCGCGATCACACAACAAAGCCAAGAAGAAGACATGTGTAGTCATTTATTGGGGCATATATGTACAAAAAGCCAGGGCCTTGATGACGAGGCTTATTTCTTTGACTTCTTATGTCCCTTGTTCTTGCCTTTGACGTGCCGACCTGCTCCCTTGGCTGCCTTGCCACCCTTTCTACGTTTGTTCTGTTTCTTTCTTCACGAAAAAAAATAGAGGATTTGATTAAAAGCCGACTAGCAAAAGGCAGCTTACTCTGTTTTCGAGGCGATTTTCTGTTCATTAACTTCTGCGGAAAACAGCCCCATGGAGGCGTCCGAGCGTTTGGCAATCTCAAGCGCACGGTTAAAATGGTTCTTGGAAGCATCCGCTTCCGGTTGGACACCCACCGGAGGAGCTAGAATCGATAGAGGGTAAATAGGAGCCACGCGTAAGGACATAAGGACTGAAACATTTTTTGGAAATAAAATCACGAAGAGGTAGGGGTGAAGGGGTTACGAAAGACTACAACTGCAAAATACTAGGTGTGTATGAAGCTTCAACATAATGGGAGTTGGTGGTGTCTTCCGTTGAAGCGTCGATTTGTCTTCAACTCACGCCTAAACAGTTAGCCAGAGGGCACAAGTTACAAGCCTTAGTATGCGGCAGGGGACCGAAGAATCAGTTTATTGTGCATCTATGGACACCTTTCTTATTTACCAACCAACTTGGATGCGGATTTTGAAGTTTTTATTTTAACCACAGACTCAGAGAGTGTTTTACGTATTTCTGCCGTAAGTAGAGTTTAATCTAGCATAAACAATGACAGACTTGATTAATTTAAGTTAATATATCCTGAAGGTCAATTATTAGGACAACATTTGCGTTTTCTAGTTGAAACGAAGTCAGGTCAGAGGATGCTAGCGTACTCAGAAAAGGCTTTTGTAATGCGTTTACCTTCAGTCACGTCGTAAGCAGACGGTAATTTACAGGACAAAGGAATTACGAAAAAAGGAACAAGTACATTTTACGGCAGTAGAAAATGGGTAGAAGTGCTGTTTACCTAAGGTTGTATTTTAAAAAGGTCTGTTGTTCGAAGTTAGAAGTAGAACGAAAAATGGTCCATACAGGCAAATGTAAAACGCCATAGTTTTAGACACACTTTGCAGACAACGGCTTTTAACCCCGCCTCACCAAACAAGACTATCCCGGTTCAGGGTACACACACAATGTGTTTTTTTAGTAATAAGGAAGTACTACTAACAAAACCTAGGGAGATTGGAAAGATCACACGCCTGGCTTATTTTACGTCGACAGCCCACGATACGCTTAACCTAACCCCCCCCGGGAAAAACTGAAGTTAGCTGACGCCCGAGATCCCCTTGCATGACTTGTTTCTTTGCTGTAATGTGTTTTCGGTTCAAGAAAATTACTTAAGTAGGGCTGTAATACTGATCGTTGTATAACCTAATCTCAGGATATTTTAGTCGCGCCAGAATGTCGACTTTCAACCGACTTTCATTTCCTGCATGACTAGTTTCTTTGCTGCAATCTGACTGAACAGTAAACCAGGACCGCCACTGCCAACCGGTAATGTCTGCAAGACTGGCATTTGGGGAGGTGGTGTTAGGGACGAGTGAAAATGGAGGATTAATGCGACATGGGCGTGGCCTTGATTGCAGAGGAAAAACTTGGGCATCATCGACCACACTTGCTCTTCCTAATTTTCTTGTAGTTGACTGGGGAGACTTCAAGACAGCTGGCGGTGAGACGGTGCTCTGACATAAAGCCGAATCTGCGCGTGCCACAACATACCTCGTTGGTCCATACGGACTATGTACGTATTTACTGAGTGGGTAGACACTCTAAATATCCTCCATCTGGTCTCGCTCACCAGAGTACGGTCGCTGCACTCTGAACAGCCTTATGGAGCCGGAAGTTAGAGCTAGGCGCGAGGTCGAACCAGAGTGAAATAAGTATGTCGTGTGGTAACGCGTGTGGGGCAGATGCCAATCCATCGAAGTGACTGTTCGC